GCAATGTATAGATAAAGATCTCATAATCACATCTATACTAAGTACCACTTTTAGGTCACCATAATCATACTTACCATTATTCTATCTCATCTTTAGGTTATACTCATGGACAAGTAAACCTTCACATTTATTAAGTCATATCAAGGAAATTAACTCATAGCAACAATCTGTATTAAGCATACTTCATTACAAATAGCCTTCATATCAACATACTTAGTAGCATTACCATAAGCATATTCATTTCATACACCATTATAACATAAAGGAACACACCATAACTAACATAAATCCTATTTGTGCAATGCATAGATGAAGCCTCATACCCCACCCACACTAAGTAGTGCTTCTTGAGTAACCGTAATTCATAACACATATTCTTGTTCATAGTGGAAATAAGTCGTAATCGATAAAGACCATGTCAGTTTATCATGGAATTAGGTTTGATGCCCCACACTGAAAAGAGATGCCCTACTTGCCTAAGCTAGAACTCATGTATTAGCTTTAGGTGGACCCACTAGTTAAAGACCTATGGGGGCACATAATTATGGGATAATGAGGTTTCTACTAGAAACACGACCATATTACGGAGAGTTTCCACCTCACAATATTCACCCATTGTAAGCATAAAATTCCAAAGAAGTAGTTAATTCTCTTTTTTTATCATTACACATGAAAGGGGTGTCACTTGTCGGTTCAAGGTACATCATTAGGATAGCTTATTGACTCCTCGTGAAAAGGTACCATTGGTATACCGATTTAAGACAAGCCTTAGAATACTTCATTAGTCATTCATGAAATGGATGACATTGGCCTACCAATGAAAGGTACATAAATCAAGATAGCTCTTTAATTACACATGAAAAGGATTCCCTTAGCCTATCGATTCAAAGTACATTATTATATGAGAAAACCTTTCATGACATGTCATTATCATTCATAGGTGTATAATATTAGAATGGACTTTCAACAACAACACCTTTACATCATAGTTATGATCACATTAATGTAGAGGTATTCATAAAGCATGTACATAAATATCATAATCATACAAAATTCTCATAATTTTCCCTTCAAGGACCATGGATCATAATTCACCAACACATCTATAATTACAACGTTAGACATGGATGATAACATGATTCAAGTAATCGTTTCATAGCATTCATAAATCTATAGCATTCTACTTGCACCATTCACTACCTACATTTTAAGATCCAATTTGAGAAAATAGAGTAATTCCTGGATTCTTGAGGAATTCAACTTAATAACATATAAAATCATCAATATGTCCATAAAAATCATAATTCAATTATTAAAAACAAATTTGAAAGAAATCCATGAGATCGAAGTCAAACCCTAACTTTAGGTTTTCTAGTTTTGAAATTGGGATTTTGGAGCTATGGGTGAAGGCTACCCATAGATGAATAGATACCATACTTTATTGAATATTTACCATTAATTTTAGGATAAATTCTTGATTCTTCAACCCTAGCTACATCTTTCTTCTTCTTCTTCCTTGGAATTCGAGAGAGTTTATTTGGAGAAAAGTTTGTTTTGGGCTTGGATTTGGGATTTATGAAGTGAATGTGGTGGTTAATGAATTCAAGACACTTATATAGGTGAACTAATACTATACAAAATGATTCCACTTAATACTTAATTAAAAATAGTTTTACCTAAAGACCCCTAACTTAACCGACTTGGGACAATGTTACAGGCCCCATCAAAGACCCCACCTATAAGGCATGGAAAGACCAATGGTCTGTACTGGTGGAGAGTGAATTGGGGTTCTGCATCCCCTCACTTTGGCCTCTTAACCCACGAGCCTCTCCCACGGAGTATGGACTACCTTATGGGGCAAAGGTCCCTCTGTGGGTAACACTTTTGAACAGTTCTAGGGTAGACTTTAGGGTCCTCATCAAGGAACCTTGGTTGGTCCTTGGGATTCATACCTTGATGTTGAACCCCTAACCCTTCATTTTAAGTTCGAGAAGAAAATTTATGACTCTAACCTTTACGAAAAGCTCTAGTCAAGCTTACTAGTTTCCAGGGTAGTCATGGTGACCAGTGGCTAGTGAAGACCTCTTCTTGCCCCGGACCTCTTCACGACTAGCTTCACGGATCGTTTTCCGTTCACAACCCGTCTAGGGGTTCGTGAAAAGATGTTGGCTTAAGGTAGGTTCTTACATCCCACTACACGAGTAACATGATGCCTCGTTTGACTCCCCACGGTTTGTTAAGGCCCTCGTGGGAAGGATGCCTGGCCAGCATGCATTGGTGTACTTTCCACGGGCTATAAAGTGGATCGTGGTCTCCTTTACGGCATGTTTGGGGCTTCGTAGAGGGTCAATGGTCCATGTGTTGGCCTATGAGTCCTTCCCCATAACCCCTTATTGGTCTTTCTCGAATCGGAGGTGTCACAGTAATTATGAATCAACGTTTCAGATGAAATTAATTGAATATACTTTATTTTTTCAATGGTAAATATCTGCTTCAAATTAGTGTCTACGAAGTCTAACATAGTACGTAGAAATGTTTGTGGGTGCGTTTATATATATATATATATATATATATATATATACATATATATATATATATATATATATATATATATAATTTTTGAGAAATTTAAAATGCATGAATTGCTTATACGTATGTTTTAAAAATAATAAAGAAGGACCTAAAATGCCCCTCAACTATTTGAATTGGAACAAAACTACCCTTCATCCATCTTAGAACCCCCAAATACCCATATCGTTAACCTTATGGCTCAAAAATACCCTTATATCTCATGGATCATACTCATTCGGTGGATGGAGGACAATATTGTACCAAATCATATAGCGTAGGGGCATTTTAGGCAATTTTTATTTAAAATAATTTGAAATTACTTAATATATGAGCTCATATGATTGGATTTATTTTGAATTTCATAGTAAATGTTAAAAAAAAGTAAGGCATCTATTCTCTACACCTCCACCCACCCCCACCCTTCAGTTCCTATCTCTTCCATTTCTGTTTTCTATTTGGATCTTGTCCATCATTGTTTTAAAAAATAATCAATTTTTGACAAACAAGAGAGAAAAAAAGGTGGAAAATAACGATGCATTCATATAGAAATAATTAATTCAATAAAAAGATAATTTCATTAAGCAAATGTATGATTTACATTTTTCTTTTGTTGTACCCAAGATTTGAATTAAAAGAATAAAAAATAATTATTTTTCTTATCCCAACTTCATCCCACCCTAACAAAATAGAAACTAAAAAGAAATAAACATGTGAGTTCGTTTCAACTTTGAGTTCCGAATATCCTAATTAAGAATATGAGATTAAAAAAGGTATAAAATAGAAAATGTACAAGACATTTGAATAACTGATAGAAATATTATTGATGAAAAAGTAATTTTTTTAGATGGACAATCAGTCAGGGTGAGTATCAATTTTAGTTGGATCTCCATTATGAGTTGGATTCCGTTATAATAAATTAGGGGTTGATTTAAAATAGGTCAGTTTGAAGATCTCATGAAATTAGTTATTCTTTAAAATGTCAAAATATGAATCATATTTTGTTTTACAAAAAAAAAATCTTCAAAAATATCATTTTTATTATTTATTTGAGAAGGGTTTAAATTTGGACTAATCATATTAAGCAACATTTAAGAATTTTACTTTAGGGATCTATTGAAAATAAGGTTAAACATAAGTCAAATGATTAACATCTAGGACATATTTAGCCAAAAAATAAACATCAGGATATTTTAAAATCGAAAGATAGATGAAAAATAATTTTATACCAACTCATAGTTGAGAGGCATTTCAGGCCCTTCTCCGACAAATCAAATACTTCATCCGGAAGTTAACCAAGTTTTAGTTTACGTTATCTCATAATCTCAATGCCGTCAATTGGGACCACATAGATTGACCCCTCTCCCCGCCCTGCCCTTTTTTTTGGTCTTTTATTGTATTTGTATGGTTAAAAAAGGTTCCTTTTTTTTTTCTTCAAATTTTGGAAAATTACTGAAATAATTTACGCCGACCCTTTTTTATTGCTAGCCTTTGAATATATAGTAGATTGTTGGTGTACAATTTTTCATAATATTAGAATATAATTTTAACATGTAGTCAAATCACTTGTCTTAATATTTTTAGGTTATTTATTTCACCTTTTATTATGAAGTATCATTTATAATATTTTTTACTACATATGTTTCACCAACTTACATATCTTACTTTCATTTATGGTTTTTTTATTAAAAAAAAAAAGGAAGAAAAGAATTTTCATCTTTTTATTTTCAGTAAGTACTTAAAATTTCATATAATATTCTCATTTTGTAATCCTAATAATGTTCATAAGAACCTGTACAATTTACATGACAAATTTAAGATGAATCAAAGGATATTTTTGGTTTATCATAAACACTTTTGATTTTGTATTAAAAAAATGACCAAATTCAAATTTTTCTTTACGTTCGTCCAACATAATGGATCATCAAACTAAGACATTTTCTTTCCCTCTCAATTTATGTGATACCTTTATATTTTTTTCATAGTTTAACATGATTTTTTTTTATTTTTTTAAAAAATATATGATCTAAAATAGAATTTAGATATTTGTGACTATAAATTTATTTCAATAAGGGTGAAAATGAAATTTCAACTGCGTCCATTACATATTGGGCGAATCGAAAGTTAACTTGACTAATTTTAAAATTAAATTAAATTATCTTTATCTGATATTTTAAAATAATTTTTTTAGATATTCAAAAACTATATAAAAAATAATATACATTGCAATTTTTTTCATACGTGTCACATAAATTGAGATAAAAAGGAGTATTTTTTTTTTAGTAAAAAGTAGTGTGATGAATAGTGGTAGTGTAATTGGCAATTTAGAATTATAAGTAACTTTAGCCTTTACCTTTTCCATTAGCTGTGAAGTAATGAGTGTGGCCCTAGCACCATGAAAGCCACATATATATCTATCAATTTCATTTCATTTGTATATGTAAAATATGTTCTCTCTCTCTGTCTATAAAAGCATATCTGAGCAGCAAATGAAGAAAGTGTCTACCATGACTGACCCTAATTTCTACTCCCAAGAAGAAGAATGGCTGAAACTGAATAACCCTAATATTCCTTCTCCTCCTCCTAACAATAATAATTACTATTATGAAACTCCTCCTTTGAAAGAAGCCCTCCCACTCCTGAGTTTATTAAGTCCTATAAAACACGATGATGATGATGATGATGAAGGTTGTTGTAGTATTAGTGATTTGGACAAAAAAGGTAGAAGAGTAGAACACATGGATGATAACTCATGTACTAAAGATGATGATGAAGATGTTACAGTAGCACTTCATATAGGATTACCAAACCCTAGTAGTGCTGATTTGGCCTCTATTAATAAGGATGATGTTTCCATTCCCATGGCGAATATGATAAACACAACTAGTACTAGTAGTAGTAGACAGTATTGGATTCCCACTCCTTCTCAGATTCTTATTGGTCCTACTCAATTTTCATGTCCTGTTTGCTTCAAGACCTTCAACAGATACAATAACATGCAAGTGAGTTTTCTTTCTTAATTACCTTCAATCTATCATCATTTCGATTGTTTGTTTTTCTTTTCTCTTTGAAGGATCCAAAGAAAGATTAATCAAAGATTATAGGGGCCCCTTTAATTAATTACTAATCCATCTCAAATTAATCTTTCACTTATTAATTGTTACAGATTCCATATATTTTACCTAAGACTTGATAGCTAGCTAGCTAGTAGATCAGATTTCCAGAACACCGCAAATGTTTCATTACATCCTTTGGACCAGTCAGGGAATGAAATTATTATATATTGTTTATAAGTAATTACATAAAATTTCTCATGACCAAATTAATGGTCGTTCTCATTGTCTAGCTAGCTATGTATTTGTTGAATTTCCTCTCTTTTTGGCAAATTAAGGAGAGGGTGATTATCAATTTTGCATTACAAAATTACAAATGCACTCACTATAAAACACTTTATGTCATATAGCTTGTTCTAATAAAATTTAGTATTCCATAGAACAAAGATGTTGAAAAAATATATATATGAACGTAACCATTGATAATTGAAATCTAGGTTAAACTATATATTTTATTTTATTTTCTGTTGAAGAGATGGTCCATCTCATCTACAATCGGAAACATATTCTTAATTATGTCTGCAACGATGTACCTAATAGAGTATATATTTCTTCTACTACTATTAAATTGACATGTCAAATAAGATTTTTGTCTACTCTGATATCATATACTGACTATCCCATCTAAAAGCTTAAAAATACTACATATGTTTCAGATGCATATGTGGGGGCATGGATCTCAATACAGAAAAGGACCAGAATCATTACGTGGAACTCAACCAACAGGTATGCTTAGGCTTCCTTGTTATTGCTGCACACCTGGGTGTAGAAACAACATTGATCATCCAAGAGCTAAACCATTGAAAGATTTTAGAACACTTCAAACACATTACAAAAGAAAGCATGGAATTAAGCCCTTTATGTGTAGAAAATGTGGAAAGGCATTTGCTGTTAGGGGAGATTGGAGAACACATGAAAAGAATTGTGGCAAACTTTGGTACTGCATTTGTGGTTCTGATTTTAAACATAAGAGATCTCTTAAAGATCATATTAAGGCTTTTGGTCAAGGACATGGACCTTATGGCATTCATAGCTTTGACGACGATGACGATGATCCTGCATCTGAAGTTGAACAAGATAATCCTCCTCAACACATTGATATTGACCATACGAGGAGGTGAGTTTGTTTAGCTATTATTATAATTATTAAGTAAAACAAAAACATTAGATGTTATATTATTTGCTTTGAGCTTGTACTAGCTACCTAGTTATTTGGTACCTCAATATAATATATAATGTTGTATTCACCTTTTTGAGTAATTGATTGCTCCAATTCTGATGAAAGTTAAATTAGACATATATTGTGATGCAGTAGTACTACTGCTTTATCACACAAACAAAACCATATGATTTGGGCACTGAACATGGGAAACACTGCCCGTAAAGTATGGGGAAAACATCTCCATCAAAAATGTAACATATGTGTGGGACTTAATGTCCAACCTAAGACCACCTACCTTATTTTTACCATAACTATATATACAAATATCAATAATACTCTTAACAACCTTTTTAGTTCTTGACATCAATACAAATACTTCATTTTTTGATTGATGCATAGTCAAAAAAAATTAACTAGTCATGCTTTATGAACTTTGCCATGCATTAATTGATTGATGCATAGTCCAAAAAAATTGGTCACCTCAAGGATGATTATATATATTCCTGTATGATATATTGTGTTTGGTAAAATATTTTCACAAAAAGTGTTGTTTCGTTTTTGGAAAATAAGTGTATTTTTCACTTATTTTTCTTGTGTTTTGTACGTAAGCAAAAACTTATTATTCCAATAATATTTATATGTTATCTATCAAAATATTATGGAGGCAAGATGAGATGGAGAGTGGTCATTGAGAGGTGGTGGGGATTGGAGGATTGGATGTATTGGAGAAAATAAACTTATATAGAATATCAATTATATAACTTGTTTTCCCAACTTTTAGAAAGTAAATAAATTTTTCTCATACTTAAAGAAATTTATTTTTCTTTAAAAAAAAACATATTTTGCAATCATAGAAAAATTTCTACAAAACACACTTTAATAATTGTTGGTATAATACATAAACATAACCCTTAACTTGAGTTGAGCTGACAACTATGACCTTTAATTTTAAATGAGCACAAGTAAATACTTAAACTAGTATAAAATTGAACAAATAGACATATTCGTGAGTCCAAAGTCAAAAGTGTAAAAAAAATTGTCAAAAAAATCAAAAGAGTACACTAATTTTTTTATAAAAAAAACATAGAAATTGCTACTGTAACAACGATTTCATCCAAAACAAATAAAAAAATTCCTTCAATCGCTACTACGACAGAGATTTGTCAAAAAAAGTTTAACAAATGCACCAAATGTGGACCAAAATGCTGCCTGCCTCTATTAATTTTTTTAATGAAAAATAAATTGTTGCTTCAATATTTTTTTTCGGAAAACGCTGCACTGGCAGCGATATTAAAAAAAAAATTCAGAATAAAATCTCTCCGTCAGGAGCGATTTTACTCTTTTGGATAAAAAAATTGATATATATGCCCTTTCAAAATTTTTGATAATTTTTTTTTACCCTTTTAACTCCGGACTCACATATTCGTTTTATATGCACCCTATATGACAATTTTGTGTCCTATGTGACATTCTCTGTGTATTTTGCTACGTAGAACAAGTATATCTACTTGTTCAATTTTATACTAATTTAAATTTAAGTATACCTACTTATACACTCTCAAAATTGAAGAAAATAGTTATCCATAAAAGCCCACATTAAAACTTGTATTTATGTATTATGCCATAATTGTTTTCCGATCGCCAAGCATATCGCCCGGCCTACGTACAACAGTCTCCTATGAATCCTCTTCCAACTACCAACTCAAATGCAAAGTTATTTCCATCTTAGTGTAATAAATATTTCACTGATAATTCTAAAAAGTCATAACACACACATTTATGAGAAAAGTATGATGGCGTTGTACCATTTATTTATTTATTTATTTACTACTTTCCATTTAATATTTTCCATTTAATAATAGTTATCCATTATATTAAAAAAATTATTCAATAATATTTATTTAATTTTGAAAATTAAAAGTTAATTTATCTTTTATGTCAATTTTACGATTTATCATCTAACATATTTTTCAAAGTATTAAATTTAATAAAGTTAAAGAATAAAATAATAATATTACTCCTATTATTTCTTTTTTATTAAGGAATGTGTCAACTCAATAGTGGACAATTATTATTGGACACAGGAAGCATTATTCAATAAGTAATATATTTCCTCTGTTTTTGTTTATATGATTTACTTTCTTTTTTAGTCGGTCGTAAAAAAATGAAATATTTCTATTTTTAATAACAATTTAACATTAAAAAGTATATTTTATCCTTAATGAAGTATGATTTATAGTCACATAAATCTCTATCACCTATTTTAGATGACAAATTTTAAAAAATCTTTTTTTTTTCTTAGATTACGTATCAAATTAAACTTACTCCTATAAAATTAGAGGAAGAAGTATAATTCGGAGAATGAATGATCTGGGGGGTATAAGAGTGTATTCTAATTTTATCAATGATTACATGCATGCAATTATAAGGATGAGCCAAGTTGGAAATCCCTTTTTCTTTCTTTCGACTTTAATAATTCATTATCTTCAAACAAATTATTTATGAATTTATCCTCCGTATGTTTTAAGTATCTTAAGAGATAGTTATATATTGTGAAATATATTATTTCGTACAACCTATGTCATTTCGTACGTGGTAATCTAATTATTAATACAAATTGAAGTCCTATATCTTCCTAAATAATTTTTCAAGTAACAAAGTATGTGAAATATATATATTGTGAAATATATATATATATATATA